CACTGTTCACACTGCCCACACTGCCCACACTGTTCACACTGCCCACTGTTCACACTGCCCACACTGCCCACACTGTTCACACTACCCACACTACTTACACTGCCCACGCTGCCCATGCTGCCTATGCTGTTCACACTGCCCACACTGCCCACGCTGCCCGCTCACCTGCATGAGTTCATGGCTCTGCAGGAGGTCGTTCTCCAACATCTCCTGGGTGAGACGCCCCATGGTGCTGTAGAACTCATCTGCTGTTTCACAGCACTCTATCTGCCTAGATGGGAAAAAAAGGACTCCGTCAGGGCGTTCCTGCTGCACAGCAGATCCAAGCCCACGTGCTGACTCTCCTCTCTCGAGCTGGTCCGCAGAAGTATGACGTCTTGCCCCGCTCTTACAGTGGAGCCTGCTGTGGAGGGAAGAGTAAAACCACCAAGGGGAAGGTGGTCACGCAGGCCGGTCACACCAACCACGAGGAAGGCTGACTCAGGAAAGGCACTGAAGCCCAAGAGTTCAAGACCAGCCTGGGAAACACAGCAAGACCTAATTAAAAAAATAAAAATAAAAAAGACAAAACAAAACAAAACACCCAAAGCAATTTTGAGGTACTCATTACAGAATGAATCCCCATCTTCCTTGCGCAGCTCCCTGAGCCTCACAGCCCCACAGGGTGGCTTTATTCGTCCCGCGTGATACATTCGATGCATCAGAATACACACCAGTGACCAGGAGTCGGAACCACAAAATTGGGAACTGAAAAGCAATTACCCCCTGTGGAAAACTAGTCAGTCCTACTCGGCAGAGATACGGTGAATGGGCTGAGTCCAAACCACAGTCGAGTTACAGAGAACAGGAATTTCACATGGGTCTACAGATCGTTTTCATAGGCGCCTGGGAATTCTCCTCAGGGAGGTGGCTGTCACCTCGGAAACTAGGAGACTGGTGAGATTTTAATCTGTCTTCTCAAGAGGAGGAGAAGGATAACGTCAGACAGGGGGCTCTGGCTGGCTCTGGTTTCTCTGTTGCAAAGGTTCTTGCACGGTAGGATGACTCTATTTGCCCGCTAACCATAAGGCATGTTCTGACAGGCACTAATGTTGGGCAATTTTCACAGCCGTTAAAGACAAATGTAATGAGAAAATCACAGGCTCAAATCCCCTCGGTACCACCGAGGTGAAAATAAGGAAGTGAAATAAAGTGAGGAAGGACTATTATGAAACAGCAGAGCAAGTGGACGTGATGAAAAATGGTTATGCTCACCCTGGGGATAAAAAAAAAAAGGTAGGGGGAGGGGCAGGCGGGGAGGGGTATGCTTGGGATGAGTTTTGAAAAGAATGCTCTGTGGCTGCCAGGGAGGAAGAAGCATTGCAAAGACTCCATGCAGAAGACAGCAAGACTGTCTGAGGGACCTCTTTGCTGGTCCCCAAGACCAAACGATGTCGCTGGGAGGGAAATCATTGCCGAGCCAGAGGGAGCTGGTGAGCGGCCAAGGCAGATTGCAGAGTGGCCCTATCTATCTCCTAAGCCTCTTCAGGACACAAGTGACCCGGGATTTGTGTGTGTGTGTGTGTGTGTGTGTGTGTGTGTGTGTGTGTGTGTGTTCAAGACAGGGTTTCTCTCCGTAGTTTTGGTGCCTGTCTTGGATCTCGCTCTGTAGCCCAGGCTGGCCTGGAACTCACAGAGATCCGCCTGCCTCTGCCTCCCGAGTGCTGGGATTAAAGGCACTTTCCACCACCGCCCGGTGACCCAGGGCTTTTTAACAGGGGGTGATGGAAGAGCCATGCCCTTGGCAAGGTTGGCCTAGGGGTGGCTTAGTATGTTTGGGTACAACTACCAGGGCTGAGGAGGACATTTGCCAAGTGTGAGGAGATGAGTGTGCCAATGTGGGAAGTCACAAGAGAAAGACAAAGAGACGCCGTAACCGTGAGGTGGTAGAGAGGGCAAAACGGTTCTGCTGAGAGGAAGGAAGGAATCCCGAGCTGCAGAAACAAGGTCAGCAGAGGGGGTCCCCTCAGACAACACTGTAAGGCACACGTGTTCACAGACCCGGGGCTACCTACACACCGGGGATGTTTTCCAGTGCCACATCTGTGAGCAAGCAAGCTTCACCAGCTCTGGAGACCCAACTCCACTTCTCATTAGCTGGGCGACTGTGAGCGAGTTAATTAACCTTCTCGGGATGATTTTCTCACTTGAAAAGGCAGGGAGGAATAATCTCCCCTGCTCCGCGCAGGGTTATTGAGGGAACCAAATGAGATAATATACTCAAGCTGCCTCCTCTAACGACAGGCGCTGTCAGCCCTGGATGGATGCTGGTGGCCTCTTCCCCGAGCTCCTCACAAGTCGCAAGCTGAAAAAGATGCATCATTATCTCGAGCAAAAAACCCTGACGCGTTTACAGCTCATCCACAGGAGCCATTTCTGAGCATGGGGGGATTTGCATAATGAAAAGCACCAATTCTAGAGCCAGGGTGCCTTGGTTCAAAACGGTGTCTCCCACTTACTAAATGGGTGATTTCGGGCAATTCGTTAAAACTCTGCGCCTCGGTTCTCGTGCCCGTAAAACGAAGGTGGGCTACAGCCAAGACTCAGCAATGAAGAGGGCTTGCTGAGCTCGGTCCCCAGCACCCACATTAAGGAGCTCGCAACTGCCGTAATTCCAGCTCAAAGGGGATCCGGCGCCCTCTTCTGACCTCCCTGAGCATCTGCTCGTGTGCACTTGCATGCAACATACCCACATGCATCCACGCACACCTACTATACACACAAAAATACACACACATGCACACAGACACCTACGGACACGCATACACACACACACACACATGACACATTCATGCACACACGCACATAAAATAAATCTTAAAAGGGAGATGGTAAAATAACAAACCGGGTGGGGTGACGGAGGCGCATGAATGAGCTAACACACCACTTCGAGCACCCGGTGAGTGCCAGCTCTTCCTAGCAACAAATCCTGCCACCACCCAGGAAGAAATTCTGATGTGACAGAAAGTGAGTCAAGGAGGAAGTATGTGGGAGCCCGTTCTCGGGTTCATTGTGACTTTACCCAGCATGTCCGAATAGAGGATGATCAGGACCACAGGCCTGAGTGCAGGTGTCTGAGATGGTCTGCACTTGGCTGTGCTGGGGGAGGAGGTCTTTTGCTCCACCCCTTGGCGTCTCTATAAAAACCCTGGGCCAGAGACAGTCGGGGGCCGTTGGAATAGGTTCCAGGCCCTCTCGAGGCTATCCTTTATTTTCTATCTGTTTATCTCCGCAAGATTCTCTGCTATAAATGCTTCTATCTAATATTTCCTGCTGATCGCACTCAAGGAAACTCTGGGGAGCTGTGGAGTTGGTGGGTAAACGCCCCACAGAAGTAGGATCACCCCCTTCGTTCCCGCCTCATCACTGAGGACCAGCAGCGAGTGACCAGCACTGACCCATCATACAGTCCAGCATTCTCCTCCTCAATGCTCTAGACGACTGGACCAGCATACTCAGAAAGCTAACGGTGCAGAGTAAGCCGGAAATACGAAAGTACATACGGGGGAAGTGAAAAGATAGGTAAATGGCACAGCAGACCTCATACAGGTGGATTTGTTGTCGGCATGCCTGGAAATCATCATACAATAAAATAAAGACAAAAGAAGGCAGCTCTGTGGTGTTTACAAATACATATATTAATGATTTTTTTTAAATCCCCGAATTGATAGTTCCTGGATCTCTCCTTGTAAAAAACTCTTTCCAGAAACAAGTTATAAATTAAAAAAGGCTAGCTAAAAACTTTACAAAACGGAGCGGGCAGGATGGCTCAGTGGTTAACGGCGCTCTCTGCCAAGCCTGCCAATGTGAGCTCCACCCTCGGAATCCAAATGGTACAAGAAGAGAACCGACTCCTGTCATTGTCTTCTAACTCACACACACACACACACACACACACACACACACACACACACACACACACACACGCCATAGTGCCCTGCACCCCTGCACGTAAAGGCACATGAATAAGTGTCACTTTAAAAAATATTTAAAGCAAAATACTGCCAGTGGTTTATTAGTTTTCCGACATGTCGCCGTGGATGCCTACTCGAGTCCTTCACTGGAAATATCTCCACTTCTCAAGTTGACTATAAATAAGCAGAAACATGCCATCTTTCTCTCTACGGGAAAGGGGAGTAAGTGAAATCTGGTTGGTATCTTGTTCTGGCAGGACCAGATTTGAGCATCTAAGTAACTCCTCATGAATGGAAGGGAAGCAGCTTAGATTGTACTACTAGTGAGCGTAGACACACCTTCTACTGACTATACAGACACAGGCACACCTTCTCCTACAACTGTGCAGGCATAAATATACTTGACTGGACAAAGCATAAACACACCTTTGTAGTGGGCAGCCATTCCAGCTTTGACCTGGAAGTACCACCCCCATTGAGGCTTCCGGTAACTGTCACACCTATGAGGCGGAGCCAAGAGAGGAGCCCTTAAGACCCAAGATCCGGATGCGCTGGCTCTCTTGGTTCCTAGATCCTGGACGCTGGAGGTAGACTGAGCAGAGTTCTCCAGAGAACACCGCCGGACTGCGCCACGCCTTTCCCGGACCCTGTAAACTATTCCTTCACTTGTAAGTTACCCCACAACATAAACCTGCCTTTTAACTACGTGGAGTGGCCTTAATATATCCACCAATACACCTTCTCCTGCTGAGCAGACAAGCACAGGTACACTCTGTGCAGGGAATCTCATTTGATTTTATCACAGCTCCCAAGGCAGAACAAAGTAAACAAAAGAGATTCATAAACAATCCAAGAGCCGGGTGTAGTGACGCACACCTATAATCCCAGCACTTGGGAGGCAGAGATGGGGGGCCAGGGGTTGAAGGTCATTCTCCCCTTCATGGTGAGGTGAGGCCAGCCTCTGCTAGATAAAACTCTGTCTCAAAAAAGAAAAAGAAATAACCCCAATTGTGATGTGGGCCAACCAGTCTGCCTATTTCTTTCCAGATACTGCAGTGTCTTCTCTACCTATGGCCCTTTCCTCTTCCACAGGAGTGTCCAGAAAGCCTCTGAGGAAGAGGGCAGATACTCAGGAGAGGACCTGGAGGAACCTACCCGGCCCTGAATAGATCCCCTTTCTCCCGGAGAAACCTACGGGCAGCTGAGGTTCCTGGAGGCTAACACAATCACAACAGCTCACAGCTTTCTCTCTCGCACACATACGTGCTCTACACCCAAGCGCCCAAAGAGAGCCGACCCCAGAGCACAGCCAACACTTACTCTCCCAGCTTCGCCCAGATGGCCAGCGACACCCTCAGGATGATCTCTGAACCTTCAAAGAAGACGGAGTCCCAGATCTTCAAAACCGTGTGGTTAGGGAGGCACGTGGCAAAGAGGGTGAGGAACCACTGCATCGTGAAGACATTGGTGAGCGGGGGCTCGTATCCGCCTGAAACGAAACAACACCCAAGTCCTTCAGGGCTGAGACCTGAAGGGCGCACGGTGCCCACCCAAAGAGTGCTGTGTCCCGGCTGCTTTCTTCACACACCTTAATGGCTCTTTCTTCCTTCTCCCCTCCCGTGTTTCTAGAAGAAACATTTTTAACAACAACAACAAAAAAAAAAAAAAAAAAAACCTCCAAGACTTGAAAGTCGTAAATTCATACTTCAGAAATCTTTACCTGAACTAAATCTGGGTCTACAGATTGACGGCTGCTTAAAATTAAGCAGGAAGTTTTTCTCACCAAAAGCATTGTAAAAACAACCGACTGTATCTCCTCAAAAACAAAGGCTGGGGCCGGGGGCAGAACACAGAGCTCACCTGGCACCTCAGAGACCCGGTTCAAACCCCAGCCACACCACCCAAACAAAAAAATAAAACAAAAAGTGCCGGCAGACTTTCAAAATCGGATAGTCCCACGTTAATTCAAATGCAGCTATTATAACTAAAATCACTTATAATAAATCACTTATCTCTTAAGTTATATAATTCCCAGATCACACTTGAATGAAAGGAAAATAAGCTGGACAAGTTCCAAAATATTTAGACGTTAAACAACTTTAAACTTGAAAATATTTTGAACTAAGTGATACACAATTTTAAAGACAGCTCTAAGGCCCAGCCCATTTGGAAATTTCTGAATTCACTAAAAGCTCACCGCCCCTTCCCAGTTTGAGTGACTATAAATGTCTGTTGGATTTTCAGATGGTGCTTCCAATGGCGGTCAATAGTACAGCTATCTAAGGATAAGTAAAAACAAAACAACAACAAAACCATTTTCTTCTCTCCTGGAAACAAATATTTACACAGAGACTAGAATCTGAGGTTATTCCTGGTGATCAGGAGGAAAAGAACTTGAGGGAAAACATGTACTTCACTAGCCTGTGTCTGCCACTACCGTGAAAACAGAGCTATGGTGTGCCACCAAACCACGCAAGAAGATCATCAGAGACACCCAGCTATCTCAAAACCCTCCAGAGCATTTGAACAACTAGATCTTCAAAACCCGTTAATACAGCCAGGCAGGTTGGTACAAATCTGTAATTTCAGCACCAAGAGGCTGAGGCAGGGGGATTTCTGTTAAGTCTGAGGGTACAGCATGGGATACACAGTGAGACACTGTCTCAAAAACAACAAGACCTTTTAATGTGCCCCCCGTTATTTTATTTCACTTCACCTCACTTTTGGGGGGGGGTTGGGATCAAGCCTAGGGCCTCGACACATGCTGGATAAGCACTGAGCTGCAACCCTAGGCTTGCATTCCCAGCTTTACATGTGCAGACCAGGCCAGGCTGCAAGAACAGGCTACCTACCGCAGCAGCTGCCATCACAGACAGAAGCCCGGCAAAGGCGGACATCCGACTACTCTTCCCGGTGTCCAGAGAGGACACAGTCGTGGAAGTTGCACCAAGTAGGCACATTAGAGCTAAGAGGAGCTGATGACCTACCCATGACCCCCAGAGTCACTCTTCCATGACCTTATGGCTCCTGCCAAGGTCATGGTCTGGGCCAAACTGTGCTGCACCTGCAGCTCAGTTTTAAGGAAGTCCTGCTGATGCCAGTTTAGTCGAACTGACTAGGAAGACGTGTGCGCCCTGTAGGGTTGGACAGATTCTATTGGTCAACGGACCCTATTAGCTGCTGATCCGGAACCGGCGCAGGGTGAGGCTCTCAACCAGCCACCTGCCCGTGCCTACCCCAAGATTCAGCACGTGGCCCTACATATTTTCAGTCCTGTGTCTATTCTGTGGGGATAAAAGGGTTTGATTACACTGCTGTCTTTAGACAAAAATACCTGGTAACCCTGTGCCTCCTCCACCCAGAACGTAAACTCATGCACAGAGCGGCACCGGACTAGCCGAATACTTCCGGAAACGTAACAACCGCGAGCCGCCGTTTACCTCCGCTTTCTTTGTTTGCCGTTCTCTGCAGAGCGTCGAGGTGCTGGGACAGCTCAGGCAGCTTCATTCTCAAGAGGTCTCTGAAGACGGCCATATCCACAGACAGTGCCCGGAGGTTATTGACAAAGTAGCTCTCAGGGAGCACCTTATCGATCAGGTAGATCATAATCTAAAAAAAAAGAAAGAAAACAAGACTGCTGCAGAGACCCACCAGGCTCTCAACAACATGCCCAAAGAAAAAAGCACATCCAAAAAAATAGGCAAAGGCAGCTAGCCGAAGCGCACATGCGTCAGAAACCAATTCAGGACTCACCTACACACACACACACACACCCCGCAAGGAGCGGGCGGCATAATTATCTAAGTAACCCAAAGTCAGCTGTGCTGTGAAGTTTCTAGAAGGGCTGCCAGACCTGAGCTCACCCCATATGGAGCTGTGATTACACAACCCTCAGCCTCGTGGAGAAATGGGAACGCACAAGCTCCCTGCATTCGGCAGGGCCCTCTATCCTTGGCTCCTGGATGCTGTCCGTCGGTTTTACAACCTGGATAGGAAAAACCCAAGAGCTGGCCTCTCGTTAAAAAACACCCACACTGGGGCAGGCCTTGCAAGGCACTCATGGCCACCTGGGCTATCCCAGCGACTGCCCCCGGCTGTGGAGAGCATAACCAGGTTTTGTCTGCACACTGGGTGCCTTTCTAAATTGGTTCCTCTCGGAGCCCTGCCCCACGTGAGCTCCTCAAATTACCATTTGGTTCTGACCATTGTGCCTCTGTTGCCTCTTCTAAAACGTCGCGTGACCCAGCCAAGCACACATCACTTCTGTGCATCGCCTTTCCCAGTCGGCTAGAATGCTGTGTGATGTCCCGCTCCCCGAGAGTCCAGGTCACTCCCCAGGACACCAGAAAAAAACCAAAACCAAACCCACAGCTGGCTCTGCATGCTAGTGGGGAAATTCAGTGTCTCACGGGATCCCACCAAACCCCATTTTCAAAAAGGAAGTTACCTTTTAGCCCTGCCAAGGGCCCATTTTTTTTTCCCCTCCACTTATGGTTTGCAATTTTTCAGGTCTTAGCTCTGTAGGTAAAAGGGCAGACTCCCGAGAAATCCCTTTGCAGACTCCCATACAGGATGGGCAGGCCCAAGGAGCCATAGCTTTGTTACATTAGGACAGGATTTACCAGATAAACAGATCACCAGAGAGGCAGAAGCAGGGGGGCGGGGCGTGTCCACCCAGTCCCTGGGGAGGGAGGGCCAGCCTGGGGGAAGGGAAGGAGTCAGAGGCCGGAAGAGCAGATTCCCAGGAGAGCAGAGGGCTCCGATGGGTCATCAAAAGATGGGGTGGTAAAATGGAGAAAAACTCAAAGGTCATCATCTGCACACCGTGACACTTCTCACCTAAGCTATATGGCACTGAGAAAATACATTTATTTATTTATGGTGCTGGAGACCTAACCCATACACGAGGCAATACGAAAACTCCCAAGAGCTGGCCTGTCATAAAATGCCCGCGGTAAGGCAGGCCTGGAGATGCCCTCACTGCCATCTGGGCGCCCCGAGGCCCATAGACTCGGCCTCTCATATTCCAGGCGATCGATCAGCTTCGCCACTGAACTGCATCCCAGCCCTAACACACTGATCTCTTAAAAAAAAAAAAAAAAAAAAAATTCTTTGATTGAGCTAGTAATTCCTTTCTGTGGAAGGTGCATGTTTACATGTAAAGGGCCAAGGATGATGCTGGATGCCTCCTTCAGTCACCTGCACATCAGATACTGAGGCAGAGTAACTCCAACACGCAGGAGTGACGGGCAGGCCACCACGTCCATCCGACTTGTATGTGAGTTCTGGGGATCTGAACGGCTTCATTCACCGGGTTACTTAGTTCTTTACCCGCTGAACCATCTCTCTAGCCCCAATTACGCTGGTAATTCTATAACACAATAAAATCCTCAGTCTAAGGTCATCTCAAATTCCGACATGAAGTCATAGGAGACCGCCCCCCCCCCTTGATCCACCCGCGGCTGGATTCCAAAACCCAAACCTTACGTCATAAATGAAGATGAGGAAGAAGAAATAGGAAGGAGCACTTCTGATGGTTAACGAACACTTCTAAATAAGGCAGCTAGAGAGGAAAAGTTGTGGTAAGTGCCGGGGAAGAGGAAAAGCCGCTGTGCTGTGGAATATTAGAACTGGGCAAAGGCGTGTCACATTTGTTTAGCTGTGGACTGTTTGTTACTCCAACTGTGTAAAGGTGTGCTACTTTTGTTTGTGCTGCATTTGTTCAACTGTGTAAGGATGTGTGTTCAATGGTGTAAAGATGTGTGGCGTCTGTTTCGCCTTGCCTGCCTAAGGCACCTGATTGGTGTAATAAAGAGCTGAACGGCCAATAGCTAGGCAGGGGAGGGATGGGCGGGGCTGGCGGGCAGAGAGAATAAAAGGAGATCTCTAGGCTCAAGAAAGAAGAGGAAGAATGAGAGAAAAGGAGAGAAAGGGGAGGAGAGGAGGAGAGGGGAGGGGAGAGAGGAGAGAGAGGAGGGAGACACAGGGGCCAGAAGCCAGGCAGCCACCAGCCACCAGCCAGAAAAGCCGTGAAGGTAAGATATACAGAAGAAAAGTAAAAAGCCCCAAGACAAAAGGTAGATAGAGAGAAACAGGTTAACTTAAAAGAGCTAGCCAGAAATGCACCTAAGCTAGGCTGAGCATTCAAAACTAACAATAAGTCTCTATGTCATTATTTGGGAGCTGGTTGGTGGCCCAAAACAAAAAGTCTGGTACATGGCTGGCTTATTTCTATAGATTCCCAGAGTCATTTTAGCTTGCAGAGGCTAAAACAGCTGCTGGAGAAAAAGAGACCTGCAATAATTTCCTGGACCTCAGGAAGGTCCCCTCATGAATCTAGCCTTCCTCTGCCTGTGAGGCGGCTACCAAGGTCCACACATCCTCATGGGTCACCATGTGTGGCATCTCACGGCATCCTCCAAAACTCATTTTCTGTCTTATTTTTTTAGTATTGGTTTTATGTAGCTGAGGCTGCCCTTAAACTCCCGAGCCTCTGGCTGGAGAGATGGTTCAGTGGTTAAGAGCACTAGCTGCTCTTCCAGAGGACCAGGGTTCAATTCCCAGCACCCACATGGCAGCTCACAACTGTCTACAGTTCCAGAGGAACCAACACCCTCACAGAGACATACAGGTACACAAAACATACACAAAGCACATAAAATAAGGATAAAATCATTTTTAAAAAAAAAAATAAAAAACTCCTGGTCCTCGTGCCTCCATTTCCCAAGTGCTTGGATTACAGGGTGTGCACCACTACCCCTAAGCCCCAATTCAGCTTTTTTATGTGTTTTCAAATTTCCCAGGCATTGTTGAGCCCTTTGGAGATCGGACACACTTTCCCTAAACCTCTCCATCCTGCCTCCACTCTGAATCATTTATTCCAACTTTTCAAGAGAACTCTTCCTACTTCAGACATGCAAATTACATCTGAGAAAAAATACTAAAGCTGTGGACTGAATATATAAAATAGTCTTGACTGGGCTGGCCTCGAACTCACAGACATCCTCCTGCCTCTGCCTCCCGAGTGCTGGCATTAAGGCATACACCATCATGCCCAGCTAAAATTGCTTCTTAATTTAGAGCATCCCAAAGTCCCACAATGGACCATCCCTGCCTTCCCATCTCCCCATCACCACCCTCAGGTGAACATAGCTTCGAAGCTATTGCCTTCAATACGTAAACAGAAAAGGTGAGAGGGTGAATGTACCTCGGGCCGGGTTTATAATTAAGTCTACCGTGATGTGTATAAAACCAGGAGGAGCATTTGTTTATCTTTCCACGTCACTGAGATAGTCCCCACAGTCAAGCAGATGGAGGCTTGAATACAAAGATCAAATCTCCTTTGTTGCAAACGCTGCTGCCGTCAACATCAGTTTGGAGGTTCAGCTATGAACTGGAAACTCACACCGCCTTAAGCCAATGAGGCAACGGTGCCCTCCACATCTGCGGGCCTTCATTTTTCACATACGCTCTGTGGTGGTGTGGATTCAAATGGCCCCCAGAGGCTCATACATTTGAACGTTTTGTTCCCAGCTGGTGGACTGCTTAGGAAGAATTGGGAGATGTGGTCTTGTTGGAGGAGGTGTGAGGTTTCCAAAGCTCTGGCCATGCCCCCCTCCCTCCCTCCCTCCCTCCCGCCTGCCAATGAGGATGCAAACTCTCAGCTACTGCTCCAGCACCACACTGGTCTACCTGCCGCCATGTTCCCCACCATGGTGGTCATGGACTGACCGGTGGAAACTGGCCCCAAGCCAGCCCCAATGAAATGCTTTTTCTAAGAGCTGCCTTGGCCATGGAGTCTCTTCACAGCCACAGACCGGGGACAGAGACAGGTTCCATCTGTGGTGACTCACCCACTCCTATTCAGACCTCTAACCTTACACCACTAGTGTGTTCAGAACTGCTTTCGACTAAAACACACCTTAGACGTCGAAGTCAAAGACACGATGTGTTGCCACATGCGTTGTTCTCCATGCAGACACCTCCCACAGACACACACTTCCTCACCTCCTCTGCGCCTTGCCCCAAATACAAGAGTAAAACAACCAAGTAAGACAGCACAACATAAATGTGTGCTAGGCAAGCAACTTCCAATATGATCCCCAGGGGTCCCTGTCTTCTGCTAGCGTGTGGGTGAGTGTGTGTGTGTGTGTGTGTCTGTCTGTCTGTCTGTCTTTCTGTCTGTCTGTCTCTCTGCCACTCCCCTCTCTGTCAACACGGTCTCAAGTGGCCTGGGCTGGCCTTAAAGTTATTATGTAGCTGAGTATGGTCTTGAACTCCCCGGGATGCCCCTGCCTCCACCTCCCCCGCGTACTAGAACTACAGAAGTACACTACCACGCCTGGTCAATGCGGTGCTGGGAACTGAATTCTGTGAAGGTTACGCGAGAATTCTACCACCTGAGCGACATCCCTGGCCTGATCATCACTTCTATAAGCCCTTTCCCTGAGGTATAAACCGACTCACTCTGAGGATGTCTGTCACCAGTTTGGGGTAGGGGAACTCACAGGGCAAGGAACTGGAAGGCCTCCAGCCAGCCGCCATCAAATACCTTGAGACCCCCTCCATTCAACAGCCTGTGCGGAATTAGTTCAACCTTGGCCTCAACCACACACACCCACTCAGCAAACACTCCTGCCGTTCGAGCCTTCAAATGCGATCAAAACGGCCACTCTCCTGAGTGCCAGAGTGACGGGCCCCTGGGCTGGCGAAGGGCACATCGCCTGGCATGGCTTTAACTTGGGGGAACTCTATCACCGGTAATTACAGAGGGCTGAGAAGGGGCGAGGCATCACAGGAAGGAGTGATAGTCCCAACTTGGGCGCCCTGTTGCCTTTGTCTGAACCCGACACTCACCTTCAGGGCATCCCCCTCATTGCCATCCACCACCTCCAGAATCAGAGCAGCCAGGATGTTGAAGCCTTGGCAGTACCCAACATTCTTGTTCCACCGGGCGTACGCCAACAGCACCCGTTTGAGTACCACCCTGTCCTGCTCGGCCTCCTGGCCGCAGTAGGAGCTACAGCCTGTGCGATGTAGATCCTAGGAAGGGAAAGGGAGAATAGTGTGAAAATGATCTCCTGCTGTGGTCGGGATCCACACTCTTGAAGGGGCTACTGGGACTCACTCTCTCTGTGTCTCTGTCTCTGTCTGTGTCTCTGTCTCTCTGTGTCTCTATCTGTCTTTCTCTGTCTCTGTCTGTCTCTCTGTCTCTGTCTCTCTGTCTCTGTCTCTGTCTCTCTCTCTGGTTTACCACGAAGTGAGCAGTATTGCTCCTCTCTACACACTTCCCACCGTGATGCCTGCCCACCATAGACCCAAACCAACGGGTCAAAAAAAAAAAAATCTCTCAAACAGTGAGCCAAAATAAATGTTTTCTCCGTAGGCGTTGACTGTCTCAGGTATTTCATCACAGCTCGGTCACAGTGATTGAGAGATGACGAGAAAAAGTCCTAATATTCTTCCTCAGGGAGGGGGGAAATGCCTTAAGTTCTTTCCTCATCTCGCCTTTTCCTCTATCGACATGGATATTGATTATTTTAATTTACACTGGAGCCAGGACACTCTTCCGAATTGTGTTTTCCTGCTGCTTTCAACCATGCCGCCTGAGAAAGAGTCACAAGGACGCGTTTTAGTCAGGCAAATGTTCTCAGAGTGCTTCCAGAAGCAACACAAAGAATTACTCAATTAACAGAACTCCATTTCCATTCTGTGTAAACGGAGAGTCTTTTTAAAGGTGTCCATTAGTGGTGTCTATCTATAGCGTCATTTCGGCGCATAATGCGGGGTGCTGATGATTCTTTGAACAAAATAGGGGATGAGATTTAGCTGCTAAAACTCCAATACTAAAGACGAAAATTAAAACAGCAAAATCGTTATATTACACAGACATCATCCTGTGCAGATCACGCTATACATTTCTACAATATGAACAACACCCGCTGCGCTTTAATATGTAATGGGGCTAATATCTTTAATTTAATTACCAAGATGACACCATGGTTCTCAGGAGAGAAGATCATCTTACTGATGTAGCATTTGCTTCAATGAAAAAAAAACAAGAGATCTTTTTTAATAACATGACTATAAAGTGTGCATTGCCTAAGCCGGTCATGGTGGTGCCCTCCTCTAATCCCAGCATTCAGGAGGCAGAGGCAGGTGGATTTCTCTGAGTCCAAGGCTAGCCTGGTCTACATAGTGAGTTCCAAGCCAGCCAGGGCTACATAATGAGACTCCTGTCTCATAACACACACACACACACACACACACACACATACACACACACACACACACACACACACACACACACACACACACACCAGGGCCTGAGATGTCTCAGTGGTCAAGAGCACTGGCTGTTCTTCCAGAGGACATGGGTCCAATTCTGAGCATCCAGACGGCAGCTCATAACTGTCTGTATCTCCAGTTTCCAAGGATCCTAACCCTCGTCTGACTTCCATAGGTACCAGGAATGACAGTGATACACACACACACACACACACACACACACACACACACACACACGCACACACAGCACGCAGACACAGAAAATAAGGTAATGTTTTCTGAAGGTGCACTGCCTTCACTCATGACTTAAACAGAAAGGGACTATTCCAAATAGGAAATTGTGTCCTATGCTGAAATTCCAAATAAAGCATTAAAACGTGGATAACGCAAAGGGCTTGGGTATGCCACGTGCAACGCCAAGATTTTTTTTTTTAAATGTTCATTTGAAACTAACCACGTTAGACAGAAAGTAGCTCATTTTAGTTCGCACTTCCTCTTTTTTAAAAAAAAAATGGTTTTAAGTGTGCCAACACATTAGCCATCCGGTGGTGGCCAAAATGTAGATGAGACAGGGCTTCCTTTTCAAATCCCAGCTTAGCATCCCACTGCGGAACACTCGCAAAATCAAAGCCCACGTGCCCGAGCCTTATGGACAAGGATTATTCTGGTCCCAAAGGAAGTCAGCATTGTTGGCTCTCAGTATGAGATCCACAGCCACAGCTGCCCCCACAGCAGACCTGAACTGAACGCTAAGCCACCTGGTTTAACGTGGCTCCATCAGCCAACCTAACGATCTATAAGTTAACATTGAGACTAGGGGGAGCCAAATGTTTCCAATACGAAATAAACTCACCTCTAAATTTCTCAGTCCAGTGACTCTAATGTAAAAGGACAATCGGTATCCCTGACCCATACTAAAGAAAAAATAGAAAAGGAACTTCAATATCCTGCTGTGTAACAAAATTAGATCAAAATTGGATATGAATGGAAGCTCAAGTCACATTTCCCTCTTACTGGCAACACTGAAATTTATGAAGGCAAGGCACAGTCAAGTTCTCCGTACGAGAGCTACTGATGGATGGGATGAGGAGGCGGATCGTGTGTTCTGGGGGCAGAGGTCATTTGATCCTCCGCGGGGGAACCGTTGGGCCCTTCGAGTCCTTTCTGCAACACCGGAAGGAACGGGAAGCCGAGCTCAGGGGTTTACCTTGACTATCTGGATCCCCATTGAGTCGTCGTCCGGATTGCTCCTCTCGTTGAAGGTGAAGCGCATGGTTTTGGCCCAGTCGATGGCTATGCTGTGTAAATAGTGGTCTGCCAAGGTCAGCCAGACCTAAGGGGATGCAGGAGGAAGACGTCAGCAGACGTCTGACCGCCATTAGAAAACCAGGACAGCATCCAGGGAGGGCCAGGACGAGCTCTGTCTACAAGTGCTGGACTAAAGTGAGCCCTGTGGGGTCTTTCCTGCAGTAAATATTTGTTGCGTTCCTACTGCACGCTAAGTAACAATCTAATCGTTAGGAAAGAAAATAACCGGAAGTTTGTTTGTTTTTTTCCCTTTTATTTCAGTTCATTGAGTAGGCTGTATGATTCCATGACCTCATTTTGCTTCATTCTAATTCGTTCTCTGCTTCAGGAACAGCTACTTGGTCACACACGGACAGTTTTTTTTCCCTCCACAGAGGCCTCTGCCTTAAACGCCCTCCCACACACACGCCCTCCATACACACAATTCTGACAGATGGGTTCCCAGAATGAATAATTTTTTTTTCAGGATTCACTAGATATTTTTACTCTTTTACCTGACACACGATAATCTAATTCTGAAAAATGAATTTCATAAATCCACATTAATATTCACTTTGAGAAACGCTTGGTGTTCAAATTCTAATGTTAAGATTACATTTATAAATTAATAACCTTAGAGCACATTTCAGATTTCAGCATTTGAACATAACTTGGCAAGAGCAGCATTGATTAATATCTCCAACCAGACTTTTATGCATCAGAATCCTGCTCAAATGCCCAGTGGATAGCTCTGCATTAGACACATATCAGACATGTGAGACCAGTATCTCACCCCCCACCACCCCAATTACACACACACATACACAACTGTTCCTCCCATCCACACCAACGGCAGCTCTACCTTTCCAGCCACTCGGGCCAAAATCTTGAGGTCCTCTTTGACATCCCATGTACGTCCGATATTCAATCCACTGGGCATTCATCTCAGCTTAGGCTTCTAATACACCCAGAATCTAACCCTCCTCAGCATCTCCGACAGCCCTGATCCTTTTCCTGCCTGAGTTATTATAGTCTACAGGTCTCCTGGTTTGTACCCTCACATCTCATATGCTCAAGGCAGCAGACAGAGTCGCCCATCTGACCAGCCTGCTTGGAACTTCCTGGTGCTCTCGCTCTCGCTCGCTCTCGCTCTCTCTCTCTCTCTCTCTCTCTCTCTCTCT